ATCGGACGAAGACGACGTACAGTATGTACCTTTAAGGTTAGTGACGACGTACAGTATGTACCTTTAAGGTTAGTGACGACGTACAGTATGTACCTTTAAGGTTAGTGGTTAAAGTCCCCAAACAGGCAAAAGCAAAGTGTGAAAGCTGAATTGCTCCAGTAAAACATTACATAAATGCATTAAAACTGTAAATTCATTTGGATAGAAATGTCACCTAAGTAAATGCATCTCTGCTGACATTAAAGAAGTTCTGTCACCTTTATCTGGAAGCCACAGGATATGGAAAATAATTGCATTAAGTGCATTAAACAACAAAGAAACAAACAAGCAGATAGGAAAATCAGACCTAGGGAGCAGTGATAATCCTGTGTGGGGTTCTGTGGTTATGGTTAATATTTCCAGAGTTATAACTCACTAAGATTACATAAACACTTTACCATCAGGAAAGGTGCATCACCACAGATGAGTCATTTAATAACAGATTTATCAAAACACACAGTTGTGTCCTGACCTTTGCGTAGAAACTTCCCCTTGTCTTTGTCCATGACATCATTAGGTAGTGATTCGTAGTTGGCTTTGATGTCGTCCTTCATGTTCTTAAAGGTGGACATCTCCACCACCCTGTCGATGGCGGCATCGGACAAGTTCTTCCCCAGGAACTCGCAGATCTTCACAATGTTGGACCTTAGGTCCTGTAGGAGACACAAGTGGGGCGTGCTGACATGCAGACAAAGCTAGTCCACCACATATGACAAGTGTTAGAGAAGATAAGGATCCTTGGGCTAGTACACATCTGGAAATGACTGGGTTAACATCATCAGACATATACGCTATGTACTGATTTAAAACATACACAACACATACTGTACACAAATTTAAAAAAAATCCTTTAAAAGAGCATCATGCCCCCCTTTCCTCACCTTGATCATCTCCTCATAGCTTAAGAACAGGATGTTGTACTTGTCTCTGTTCTTGTACCAGCCCGTAACATGGTCAAACCAGGAACCACCAATCACTGGGAAGAACAGTAATAAAGGACAGCAGGGCTGATTATCCATTTTTCTCCAAATTGACTTAAAGGCTATGCAGGGACAAACAATGTCCCAGGAGCAATTCGGGTTAAGGGCCTTTCCCGAGGGCCCAATGGTGACATCACTCTTCCAACCATTGCATTTGAACTGGCGGCCTTCTGATAATGAACGCAATATCCTAACCCTCAGAGCCATACAGAACAATGGACACGTGTCTGATGCTTGCCCATAATGTCAGACCCAGACCAGGAAGAACCATAGTCAGGAACATCAAGACCATCATCACGACGCCCCGAGCAGCACTCACTCCATCCACGGAGAAATCTGTCCATCATTTGGTTCATGTCTTTGTGTTGTTCCAGCTTGATCATGAACTTGGAGAAGTGGAAGTAGGAAGCCATGGTGTCTTTGGGATTCCTGGTAACATAAATGACCTGAGAGAAATGGATACTATTGGCATATGCAGTGTCATGCAGCAGGTTACACAGTGTCATACAGCATTGTATACAAATGTGAGAAACAATTGTTAATCTTTTTTGCGCTGTGGTTTTGCATGAGCTCATTCATTTGTGGAAGGGGAGGGTGGTGATGAATTTTCCAGTGTTACATGAAGCATGAGCACATTTCACTCATCCTGCACTGTGAGACGTACAGCTTAAAGTTTACAGCCCTGTGTAACATCACATTTATTTGCTTTACAAAGTGCTTTACCCAGAGGCATAGCTAGGATTTCTGGACCCCTTACAAAATGCCACATTGACCCTCACTTTGCTGACTGGGCCCCAAACCTATATTTTGGGGCCCCTGTTATAGGGCTGGGCCCCCCCGGAATCTGCCAGGGTATCCATGTCTCCTCTGACACCCCTGCCTGTATCCAAAGTATCAACTGGATATAGTGGGAAATGTTATGCCGGTTTTTGGGTCTGGAGTTTACTATCCATGAACTTATGAGGTGCTCTTTCCCCTCTATATCCAGTGTTAACACATCTGGAAATCTCACCTTGGCCGTTTTTTTATGCAAGCCTCTGGGAACCACTTGCTCCTGGAGGTGAGAACAGAAGAGCCTGGGGGACGGGCGACTGTTGTAATCCATACTCTTTTCTACGAATTCCAGCCAAGGCATGCGGATGTATGTGAACTGGTCCACATCGTCCGGAAAGGTGTCGTTGAAGAGCTGGGTAATTATGCGCTGGGTCCACACAGTACCTGCAGGTGATGCCGATATGAGGGGGAGTCAGATGGTGGGGGAGAGGGAGAGAGAGAGAGAGGGGGGGGGGTGACAGGCTGTGATAGATGTTCATTCCAGACCCACACTGGTTTGGCCAGCACTTCTAAAAATGTCAGTTCGACACAGCCACTTGCACTGTATGTAGTTATCTAACAGCAGAGACACTTTATTCAAAATAATTAAATGGTGGTGGTGGTGGTGGTGGGGGGCATGGCCGAGGCACCCATTTTCAGGGCCCTAAGCAGTATTTGGATAACCTAATTGTCATTTGTCATCCTCCTTCCCATTCTGACAGGCTGATCAGATGGGGGGCCCCCTGGTGGCCACTGGGCTCTAAGCAGCTGCTTAGTTTGCTTGTGCCTTGAGTGGGTCCTGGGTGAAGTTTAAAGCTTTGGAGAAGCTTTAAAAGTAAATGTTTAACTGATCTTGAGATTCACTTGAGATTAACTGATCTTGAGATCTTGTAAATGCCTGAAGGTTAAGGGCATGTAAATGCTCACATTGGAAAGTGTCGGATGCATGTTTAATAGTTAAGCTATCCGGACTATTAACTATGCAGGAGGATCAAACAGCGTGTGAAAGATGCATCATATTCATCTGAGGATCATATTACACTTGGAAGATAATTAACTCACCTATACAATGTGTACTTTATATTTAAATGTCAAATTTAAATGCATCAGTGTCAGACTGTCTTATCCTGCCTGTAATTTTTTTTGATTGATGCACATGTTTGGATCGATCTGTTAGGCAGCTCATGTGGTCTCCATGGAGACAGACCCCTGTCACACATGAGGCTTAGGGCTCCGTCATGGTGCTCAGACCTGTGAAATCAGGACAGAGGTCTATCTGAGGCAGAGGCTCATCTGCCATGCTCTCCTTTATCCCTATACAGCTTTTAAAAATAACCAAATATATTATAGATTCCCCTTTTTAAAGGAAAGTGAAGAGCCTGTTGAGTTTGTGAGTCACTGAAAGTTGTGAACATGGAAAGTGAGAGAGTTAGGAAGATGTACAGGAGGCAGGAATTCATCAGGTCACGTGGTCCACGCCGCGTTCAGATGCCTTCGGTGGTAGTGGCGGTTGTGGGAGATTTTGAAGAATACTGTTATAAGAAGGTTTTGGCTACTGGGCACCAATTGAATAGCACATGCCTGGTGACTGGTCTGTCCCTGCATCTGGCCTCCGCAGAACACGGTGGCCAGTCCAGAGGTCACAACTAAGTAAATACAGTCATTTTAGTCCAACATGAAGGTGGTCATCACTGTTTATTTAATACACGATACTTTTTTTCTAAATGATACGGGTACTGAATACAATTTGATGTGATTCAATATCTAAAATATTGAATATGATCGTATATTGTTCATTTTATATGGCAAGTCGATGTAACATTTTCCTTGTGTTACATTGTTGAATTTTGTGAGCCACCAACCAGCTCCTTTTCCTTCTAATGTGACGTTGTGTGTGCTGAAATCAAGTCGCGCCTGTACAGTACATTGCTCAGTACAGCCTTTGCAGGTAACCATGTTCCTATCGTCACTATGATATGTCCCTTAACAAAAAAATAACACTATAAAATGGGTAGTTATTTATTTAATGTGTTGATGTTAAAAAAATGAAACACAAGCCTCTCCCTTGTTGACTCAGGGACGCGTTAAACTCGGCAAAATCAGGCTGGTAATTTGGCCCTTGCTGGGCCCAGTGAATAACGTTCAATTCGAATTAACACAGAAGTCACAATCGTGTATTTTAAGTTTAGTTTAATGATAATGTATACACTGTCAGAAAAAAGTACCAATTCATACCTTTGAGGGTACAATTACTTGTCACAGGGACTGTACCCTCAAGGGTCTGCCAATTGTACACTAGCTGTAGGTAAATGTACCTTTTAAGGTACAGGCGTGGATGCTGAGGAACATTTTTGTACCACTGAGGGTATATTAATGTTGTTTATACCTTGGGGAACAAAATTACTGACAGTGTACCAACACATAAAGTCAGTGGTATTTTCACTAATGTCCTCTGCTTTCATTGATAAAACACCTTTATTAAAATAATTTGATATATTACTGAGAGATCTAGGCCTTTTTGCTGTTTTAGGCCTTGTGTTGACTAATAAGTTTGCACATAAGTAGAGTTACAACCTTTAGTGGAATAAGCCAAAATGATCAACTCTTAACTCAGAACGTGCAAATATCTTACCAGATTTCGGGAAGGTGACAAGGAAGACATCGCTGTCTCTGATCTCAAAGTGCTCTAAGCTGTCTATGAACTCCGGAGTAATGTTATAATCCTCGCCTATGGGGAAGGTCATTCCTTTATACTCGAACAGATAGTCATTGAGCGTCTTGTACTCCTGCTGAGCCATTAATGGAAAGTACTGTGGAAAAAGACAGAGGTGCAAAATGAAGATGCTACTACTGCAAGTCTCACTTCTGAAGTGCCTTAAGCGCCCAGCTGTCTGCTGAAGGCTGGACTCTATAAATGACCCTAGAGAGTCTGGCACTGCAGTGGCTCCAGGGCACTAAAGATCCTAATCTAAATAGACCATAGTTCATGTGATAAATTGTTTAAATAACTGCTATCAGCAAGCTGCATTACAAAGTCTGAAAATTGTTCGTGACAGATTTAATACTCTATTTGCAGTGTGTGTAAGGCACACACACACACACAGACCGACCTGTACTCATATCTTTATGGGGACCATCCATTCATTTGTATGATCCCTAATACCAACTATGACAACCTCCCCTACTGGAAAAAAATGCAATATTGTTGCCAATACCACAAAACTTGGAGATTTGATTGAAGCTCCGATTTTGATTTGTCAGGTCATTTTTTTAGGTTTTAAAGAGCAGTCATGTTTTTTTCCTAGTTCATAAGTCATGTCTTTACTTCTAGTGAATAAAAGGTGTATTTTGCCAGTGTTGGGAAGATTACTTTGGAAATGTAATTCATTACAATTACAAGTTACACTACTATTACATTTTAAATAAAATGTAACTATTTCAATTACTATATGAAAGTAATGTAACTGATTACATTTGATTACTTTTTGGTTACTTTTCTTAATTATGAATGAATATTCTCAACCGTTAACCATTTATGAATAAAACCTGGTAGTGTTTACCTTACAGCAGTACTAAACACTGACTACTGTCAAACTCCTTTCAATACATGAATTAACATGATTATTGTTACGATTGGTTTGCAGGGAAGCAGGTGAAGGGAGCCGTGAATACTAGAAAACGGTTTATTCGGGGGAAACATGTAACATTAATGACAGACCTAGGGAAACAGACTTGAACACGGACTAATATACACAGAACTACAAGCAGGAAATGCAACACAACAGGTAAACGGAAGGATTCCACACGGGGTTAATGAGGTAGGCGTGGTCCATATGAGGACGGTACAGACAGGGTGTGACAGAACCCCCCCTCAAAGGCGCGAACTCCGAGCGCGCCTCGGGGGAACGGAGAAACGGGACCAGGAAAACAGGACCTGGAAAAACAGGACAAAACCATTAATGAGGCACAGGGAACAAAACCGAAACACAGAACAAGCACAGGGACAAGTAGTAAGACAGGACCTGACAAAGAACGGGAAACGCAGACAGACAAACCAGAAAAGGAGACACAGGGGGAACAGAGAACTGAGGAACAGAAGGACAAGGAGTGAACACGGGAGGCACAGAGGGACAAGGAGCAGAGACAGGAGGGACAAAGGGACCAGGAGGGAACAGAGGAGACACAGAGGTTCGAGGAGCAGAAACAGGAGGGACAAAGGGACCAGGAGGAAACGGAGGAGACACAGAGGGATGAGGAACAGAAACAGGAGGGACAAAAACAGGAGGCAGAAAGGCGAAGGGTGAAGGAACAAGGGGGGCCCGAGGGAACCCCAGCGGGCGAAAGGTGGTAGCCAGAGGGGCCGCGGGTGACCGAGCGGCCGAAGCCGGAGTGGCCGAAGAGGAGGGCCAAGGAGGCACCTTTGGCAGGCCTGCAGGAGGCTGACAAGGCGGAGAAGGCAGGACTGAGGATGGTTGACCAGCCCTCGGAGGGGAGCCCATAGGTGACTGGCAAGCAGGTACCAGGGGAACCATAGGCAAGCCCCGACCTCTACACAGGTGTCCCCTCCTCTTGCGGGACACCGAGAGACGGAAGTTGGGAGGGGGTCGACCCGCTTGGGGCATCAGCAGGGAAGACCGCCTCCAGGAGGAGTTCCTTGGGGTCGCTGAGGGGACAGGACCGGAGTCCCGGTAGCTGGTGAAGCTGGAACCGGGTCCAGAACCGGAAAACCAGGAGCAGGAGGTGCCGAGGACGGATCCTGCGGCACGGAAACCCCTGGGGCTAGCGCTGGGATCTGTGCCTCAGAAGCAGGCGCTGTTCACTTGGGGATCCGCGGGATAGCATTCCCCCCAGACCCGGCCCTCTTCAGAGCCAAGCGTGTCCCAGAAAAGGGGTGAACTGCCCCTCATTGTCCCCTCCCTTTCTGGGACACCGATAGGCGGGGCTCTGGACAGGATCAACCGTGCTGGGGAGAGGGCAGAGGAGTCATTCCAGCACCAGAGTCCCTGGGGCCTAGCAGGTAGATCCCCGAGGGGTTCCGTTCGAGCTCCTACTCTCCTTCCACTAAGGGAGGAGGAATGATGACGACACAGTCTGGGACTTCCTCGGGGACAGGGATTTCCAGCGTAGGCGGGGTTGGAGCCTCAGGCTCAGCAGCGAGCAGAGCCCTTGGAGTCTCGGGTGGAGAAGGAGGTGGAAGCCCAGGAGCCTCGGGCAGAGCAGAGACAGGCAGAGCAGAGACGGGCGGTGGCGCAACCGGGACCTTGGGTAGCGGCGGAGGCCTAGGAGCCTTGGGTGTATCTGCAGGCGGAGACGGCATGGGACTTCGGCCCCAGGGGCCAGAGCGTCAACCGGCAGGACGGGCAGGACATGCGGAGCAGGAGGTGTGGCCTTGGGCGGAGCAGGAGGCGCGGCCTCGGGCAGAGCAGGAGGCGCGGCCTCGGGCAGAGTAGGAGGCAGAGGAGGCGTAGTCACCTCGTGCGCGGCAGCAGGCTGGCGGGCGTCGTGCACATGCGCAGCCGGAATGGGTGGCAGCATGGCAGGGGCCTCCAAGGGCGCAGCGACCGGGACTGGCCGGCCAGGCCCTTCCAGCATGACCTGGGAACAGTGGACCAGCTCTATACTCTCCGCAGGGTTCTGGAGGGTTCATGGGAGTTTGCCCAACCAGTCTACATGTGTTTTGTGGACTTGGAGAAGGCATTTGACCGTGTCCCTCGGGGAGTCCTGTAGGGGGTGCTCCAGGAGTATGGGGTGCTGGACTTCCTTTTGAGGGCTGTTCGGTTCCTGTATGACCGGTGCCAGAGCCTGGTCCGCATAGGCGGCAATAAGTCGGACTTGTTTCCGGTGACGGTTGCACTCCGTCAGGGCTGCCCTTTGTCACCGATTCTTTTCATAGTTTTTATGGACAGAATTTCTAGGCGCAGCCAGGGCGTTGAGGGTGTCTGGTTTGGTGACCTCAGGATTAGGTCTTTGCTTTTTGCAGATGATGTGGTTCTGTTGGCCTCATCGGACCGTGACCTTCAGCTCTCGCTGGGACAGTTCGCATCTCGGGGTCTTGTTCACGAGTGAGGGGACGATGGAGCGGGAGATCGACAGGCGGATCGGTGCAGTGTCCGCAGTGATGCAGGCGCTGCATCGGTCTGTCATGGTAAAGAAGGAGCTGAGCCAAAAGGCAAAGCTCTTGATTTACCAGTTGATCTACATTCCTACCCTCACCTATGGTCACGAGCTGTGGGTAGTGACCGAAAGAACGAGATCGTGAATGCAAGCGGCCGAAATGAGTTTCCTCCGCAGGGTGGAAGATAGGGTGAGGAGGAAGACCGCCTTAGAGATAGGGTGAGGAGCTCGGTCATTCGGGAGGGACTCAGAGTAGAGCCGCTGCTCCTCCGCTTTTTTTTTAAGTAAAGATCATCTTATACAAACCTTAAAGATTATTGATTTCTTTGCACGATTGATTTCCTTCCTTGTGTTGATGTAAAACAGTATAACATAAATCCAATTTAACAGTTTGACTACTTACTACTTTAATAACACTTAAATACAAACAAACACGCGGGGGCTGTTGGTGTCCAACCAAAGCCCTTTAAGTGACAACGTCTCTGTACTTAGATGGCTGCCTAATCAGGCGTGCACAGTGGGATGTGTCACACCTCGATCGTGCCGATCCTCCTGTGCCACGCCCCCCTCGTTAACCTCACGTGGATTCCCAGTGTTTATCAGCTGTTTTGAGTTGTCTTCGTTAGTTAGGTGTATTTAAGTCCGTGTCAGAGTTTACTTCCCTAGTCCTGTCATTGTAGTGTTATGCCGTTTTCTGTCCTGTCTGCCTCTCCGAATGTCAATTAAAACCCTTACTCCCGATTCCTCGTCTTCGTCGCCCACTTCCTTGGTCCGTGCTAGGCACGGTCATGACAGAATGACAGGACTCGCAAAGAAGACATCGAGGTGATATATTGGCTGGAGCAGCCCGGGTAGGGACATCCCGGGCTTTGGGCTCTAGCTCACCGAGGCCGGGACATCTTAGAAGAGATGTCCCTACCCGGAAATGTGCATCTCGCTGAGGAGGTGCGTTCCATGGTACGGCAGCTTCGGGAAGGAGCCGCCGAGTCCATGATGAGACGGGTTGCCATGGACAGCGGACTGCCAGACGGCTTCCTGCATGAAGCGCCCCCGACTCCGCTTCCCCCAGCACGGAGGAAAAAGCGGAGGTACCGACGACAGGAGGAGGCGCCAGAGGTCCTCCAGGGAGACGTTGCAGTCTCTGTTACCTTGCCTCCGCGGAATCGGAAAAATCCCCTTCCGATTCTTAATCCGCCGGTGTTTAAGTCGGACACCACCGCTGTTTTGCCCCGACAGACGCCTGTAATCCACATAACGGCTGCCAGACTGCCAGGACCGGCAGCCCGCACCTTAGTAGGAATGTGCTTGGCTCTTAAAGGGGCCAGGTCTGTTATGGACGTCATCTCGTGGGTCCCCAAGTTTCTTAAAGGGACAATGCCTGCGGACAAGGTTTGGTCCCTGGCAGCGCCCCCTGTGTTTCCTGAGGCTGCATCTCCCCCTGTGTTTCCTGAGGCTGCATCGCCCCCCCGTGTTTCTTGAGGCTGCAGCGCCCTCCATGTTTCCTGAGCCACGGCCTTGGCTGGAGACGGCTAGGAGGTTTTTCACCCTCCAGGGACTATACTGGCGGGTGGTAAGTGAGCCCACCTTAAGAGACTCCCCAGAGGCAGTTACGCTCCTGGAGCAGCTCCGGAGGGAGTCCGCCGCCGTTTCTCCAGTGGCTTCACCTCAACAGCTGAAAAGGGCGGAGGAGACCTTAAAGAAGCTACTCCACTTGCGGTCAGAGCTGGCTCCTCCCGCAGAGGATGCGGTCCCGGCTGCGTCGCCACCCTCTGAGGCTCCTGCAGTCCCTACTCAGCTCCCCGTGGCCCCTGTGCTCCCTATTCAGCCCCCAGCGGTCCCAGAGGTCCCCGTGCCGCCCCCTGCTGGTGCCGAGTTGGCTGCTCCTGCGGCGCCCCCAGAGGCGCCTGTGTCTCCTGCGGCGTCCCCAGAGGAACCCCGTGCCTCCTGCTCCTGCGGCGCTCCCTGTTGGCCCGCCGCCCGAGGCCATTTTGAGTGGGACCCCTCGGGGATTGCCCTGGCTTCCCCCGTGACTACCCCCATGACCTCCCCAGTGACTCCTCCACCGTCACCCCAGTGTGGCAGACCCCGACCGGGTCCCCACCTCTCAGTCTCCCGGAAAGGGAGGGGGTACCTGCGCCGGGGCCGGGTCCAGCCCGCCCTGCTCGCCTGTGGCCTCCCTGGCTTCGGCTCGGCGGTCGCCTCCGTTAGCGTAAGATAGTGAATGAGGAAACCGTAAAAGATAGTTAGCGAATGAAGTGCAATGCTAGGTTTGCAACTTTTCATAACTAATAATATTAGAATGACCACACAATTGGCATTTCCGTTGAACGCGATTCGGAACTGCATGGGTTCAAATACATAACATTGACGAGATGATCAGTATTTAGATAGATACGTTTCATAATTTACTACATTGTAATTAGTATTACAAACAGATGGGCATATTTTGTTTTCTCTCTGAAGAATGTCAGAATCAGAGTCAAAAAACTTTATTGATCCTGGAGGAAATTGCTTATGCGATGACTGCCACAACACACAACACAAGAACAATATAAAATAAAATAGTCTAGATAAAATCTAAATAGAAATCTGTGGAAAGAAAACAACCACAATATGAATAGACTATGCTACACACAGAAATGTTTGATATATCATCTATCTATATGTCACGCAGCTGAGTGAAAAACAATTGCCATAAGTGGTAGTTTGGAAGAAGTTATTGCACTTTAGAAAATCAGTAGTAGTAATTAAGAACTTGAATCAAAAATATTTTAACAAACAAAAAATACAAACTCTTCATCTCAGCCAAATAAGTTCATTAATAAGGAAGCAGAGACACATCGACGTACACTCACCTAAAGGATTATTAGGAACACCATACTAATACGGTGTTTGACCCCCTTTCGCCTTCAGAACT